CTCTCTCTCTCTCTCTCTCTCTCTCTCTCTCTCTCTCTCTCTCTCTCCCTCCTACCTCCTGTCTTGTCACTGTTGGGAATGCAAGAGCAGTCTCTGTTTCTGGGGATATACACCCTTGAAATATTAACTGAAAGACTCATCTCTATCTACTGGGTTTTTTTTTCAATATCAATTTATCAAGCTCTGTGGAAAATTTTATGTATCAGCTTTACTAACTGTGGATAACCAGATTGATGTTATTATATATGAATGCAATTTGAAAGTGTTTCCCCATAAAATCAATGTTGGAATTGTGGCCTCAGTAAGGTACAGTACCACCCCTAGTTTTGTGGAGACACCATTTAATCTGTGGGACAAATGTTGGAGGAGGGAGGGATTGACGTATTCCTCTGTGTTGTTTATCTGCATTATTGCTTGAGTCAAAAACTGTATTTTGCTATCTTCAAATTGGGTTTCATTTCAATATATCTCCTAATTCTCATGTCCAAAGTCTTGGCAAATTTTTCTCCCACAAAATTTTCTTCTTTCCCACCTTGCAAATACCAGACAGTGAGGGTGTCGCGGACTCTATAACTCCATGACCCAATTCCTCATAATCAATCTCTGCCTCACCTCATTTTCACCTGCTGTCTGTTATTATATTTTTGTGTATATATGCATATATAGACAGATATTTATATACAATACAAAGATCTACTTACAGATGTAGAGTTATAAGTATGTCTCCTACTAGGTCTGCTTTTCTAAAGAACCCTAACTAACACAAGCCTTGAAGTATGTTCTATACAGGAAGTTTACACAGGGGAAGACAGATTTGCATTGCATGGTACATTGATCAAAACTGAACAGGGTCAAATGCTAAAATAGAGTGAAACTAAAGAGAGAAGTGTAGCTAGTAAAGGGTTAGGGTTAGTCCTGTACACAGGGCAGCAACCACACTGTGATGAGCTGAGCTTGGGTAGATGAGAGCAGCAGAACCTTATAAAAAATGCCAATGTTACATCACAGCAAGCAAAATGAGAGCCAGTTGAAGGATATCTCCATGAATTGCATAACTTTCTGCAAAGCCATGTCAAAAATTAATTAAGCCACTAAAAACAATAAAATACCAAAAATACACAGCTAAAAATACATAGTTAAAACACAGACCTTCTAAAGGATAAAAGAGTCTTAACAAAATAGTGTGATTATTTTGGATTTTGTGGGTTTTCAAATATGTTAATTATTAGGAGGATAAATTTTAAATCATGTGAATATGCTTTGTGGTCTGGGGTTAAAAATAAATACAATCTAAAGCCAACTCTTAAGTGAAGCACATATGTGTTAAACAAAAAAATAGAATCATGAAAAGATAAAGCCCAGTATGGAAACTGATCATTGATGACTTCTGGAGCACTGATAGTTGTTTTTAAGGGTCCCACCCTTGGAAAACAAACCACACCTTAGTGGATGGCCCCACAGGCAGGAACATATGAACAGCACAATTGTAGTCAATGGGTGAGTAAAAAAATAAAAGACACGATGTTAGGGGAGAGGTGAGATTGGGTCTGGGGGACACTGGGGGAGCAATAATTGAGTATGAAAAAGTGCACTGAATTAAATTCTCAAAGAATTGCTAAATATATTTTTAGAAATAGAGAAATGGTATTCCCTCTCCCTACAAAAGAGAAATGGTGGCATTTCAGGGAAAAATTAATTAGTACCTGAACACAAAAATCTTCTTTGATTCTTGATACTGACATTTTATACCTATGCATAACTGAACTTGAGACTCAGGAATCATGTATGTTAGACAAGTACTACATCACTGAAGTGTAACTACAATTCTGAAGTGTGCTTTTAATGGGCCTTTGGATGGTCGTTTAGATAGCCTTTCAGTTTATTTTACTTTATTTCTTTTAAAGAAGGTGATTGTAGGCAAGCTGGGCACAAGTCCCTTGGAAGACAAGTGTAATTTTATTAACCTCAACCTGAAAGTCTCAAGAAATTGTCAGACTCATAATCACAAATGAATAGAAAAAGCAAATAAAATAAAATTTACATACTAATTTCACATAGGACAGGGAATCTTCTCAACTCCAAACAGTACTATGGACATTCTCAACAGCAAAGGTTATTCATTGCTCACAGAGCCTCAGTTGAGTGCAGCTATTGAAGCAAACAGTGAGTTGCTAATGAAAGTACCATGAACAATTGCTAGATACAGATAATGAATTATTAATGGAAGCCAAATATCTTTCAAAAGAGAGAAAAGACCCACTGTTGGGGACTAGGTTGCTGTATGAATAGATGCGATTGTTTTGAAATGGAAGTTATTTACCAGTTCAGAGACAGTTTTGAAAAGTCTATCCTATGAATATGGGTATAATCCCAAATCAGAATGAAAACAAAGCAATTTCAGACAGTAGATGCACAAACAGAGAATGTATAATAAGACTGAAAATGAACCTACTTTGCAGATGAATTTTAAAACATACAACAGAGGCTGAGGAGGCATAGCTCAGCTGGTTAAATGATCCACAAAGACCTAAGTTTCAACACCACCACAACCACCACTACCAGAAGAAAGAAAAATAGAAAAAGAAGAAGAAGAAGAAGAAGAAGAAGAAGAAGAAGAAGAAGAAGAA